AGAATATTATAATTAAAATAGCAAAAACTAGTCTTTAAATTTGTGACTCGATAACGCTGTACTAATTGCAGGGCACACCAAGAAGAAAGAATGTATTACCTTGTCTGTGCAAAACAAGATAAGAGGAAGCTATGAAAATGCCCTTATGAGTTTTCTCGTTTGGGGAGGGGGAGGTATCATAAGGAGAATGCATCATAAGTGGTATACAAGTATAGTGTTGGGTTTGCCTGTATATAGCCACTGCAAATGATGACTCATATTTATAAGACTACAAATATTCTAATGAATGTCCACACATAGAATGATAGAATCATAGAGAAGTAGGGCTGCAAGGGACCTCCAGAGGTCATCTTGTCTAACCCCCTGCCTAGGCCAGATCATCTCTATCCAAACCATCCAATACAAACCATAATCTAAACTCTACATAAGACTACCATCAACACTGACGTAACACAGACCTAACCTGCCACAGGTAAAGCAGAGGAACCATGGCAACCAAGATCCTTCTTCTATGAAATGTTGTCAATATATGCTCAAGAGATCCCAGGCCATGCCCCAGCTACAGAGAGGGTGTGTTTACACATGCACTTTACTGTGCATTAGACTAATTTAATGTGCAGTAAAGTGTTACTATCTACATGTGTGCAGCAATTACTGTGCAGTAGATTAAAGCACAATCTGCTAGTAATGACAAATGCAGGTACTAGAAAATGGCACTTTAAACCATGGGTGACTGGTGCCTCTTGAGTCAGGGGGAGCATGTGCCCTCCTGACACCAGTGAGTGACCCGGGGTGAGGGGGGTGTCAATCTCACTCACCAAAAAGCAGCCACACCACTTCCAAAAGTCCCACAGCCACTCCTGCAGTTGCTTCTTAGAGTCCTTTCTCCTCTGCATTGTGTGCTCTGCTGCTGAAGGGTTTTGATCGCAATCCCCTGTGGAACCTAATTTAAAGCCCCCCTTACTAGCTTGGCCAGATGCCCAAAGATGCTCTTCCCTGTTCTCTTCAGATGGATCCCATCTCTGAATAGCAGTCTTCCTCCAAAGAACATCCACCCTTTGTCAAAGAAGCCAAAACCTTCACACCGACACCACCATCTCAGTCACACATTTCATTTCCAAGATATGATAACCTCTGTTCAGACCCTTGTCTTCCACAGAAAGAATTAATGAGAACACCATGTGTACTCCAAACTCCTTAATCCTCCTGCTCATAATTACCTCTGATCTTCTCAGTGTCATTCCTGGCAGTATCATTGGTGCCTAATAGGCCTGTGGGAGTAGGCAGCTATTCAATTCGGCTTCGGATCCAGCTGGTTTGGATGCCAGGGATCTGATCCAGAGCTCCGGACTGGGTTCCTGCTTTGATCTGGCCAAAGCTGCTCCAAAGCTTCGGAGCCGCCTCAGAGATCCAGCCATAGGGTATAATGGGGAATCAATGAAATATCTATACCTTTGTTGGTTTTTGTGTGATTTGGATGAAACTTGCAGGGATGGTAGCCTCTGCTGAGAGCATGATGCCTGCCAAGTTTCAAGAAGATCGGTGCAGGGGTTCAGGGATAACTGCACCCCAAAGTCTTGAAAGAAAACTCATGTCATGTCTGTGTTACACCACAGGGGGGTGAAAATTGCAGGGATGGTAGCCCCTGCTGAGGCCACAAAGTATGCCAAGTTTCAAGAGGATAGATGGGAGGTTTGGGGGCAATTGCACCTCAAGCTGCAGACAGACAAAACTCATGACATGGGTGACACTGTGTATTTTAAGGTGCAGCAGAGTGAAAGCTGCAGGGATGGTAGCCCTTCCTGCAGCCATGAAGTCTGCCATCTGTAAAGGAGATAGGTGCAGGTGTTCTGGGGCCCTGAACTTCTAGCTGCTGACAGACAAAACTCGTGATATGGGTGTTTGTGCAACTAACTGTCTCTGTCTTGGGGCAGTTGAATGTCTGTATTGATTCTTTCCTCTCCTTAGTCTGTTGTTTTCTAGGTGTTAATTGTTGCTAATTAACTGATTACATTAGCTAGCAACTGTGTATCGAGCTGAGTGAATCATGATTGATTAGTAACTGGTAACGCAGTAGCTTAGCAGCCAGGCCTGCAGTAGTTTCCTACCCCCACAAGACAGACACAGTTGCACAAGCACCCATGTCATGAGTTTTGCCTGCCAACAGCTAGAGGTGCAGGCCCCAGAACCCAGAAGCCCTGCACCGATCTCCTCGACAGCTGGCAGGCTTTGTGGCCTCAGCAGGGGCTACCACTCATGGTGTAACGCATAGATGTGACACGAGTTTTCTTTCAAGAATTTGGGGTGCAGTTCCCCTGAACCCCTGCACCAATCTTCTTGAAACTTGGCAGGCTTCATGCTCTCAGCAGAGGCTAGCACCCCTGCAAAGTTCATCCAAATCAGACAAAAAACAACAAAGTTATAGATATTTCATTGATTCCCCATTATACCCTATGGCCGGATCTCCGAAGTGGCTCCAAAGCTTTTCCGAAGCACTTTGAAAGATCTGAACCACTTCAGAAAACCTAATAAAGCCAGTGCTTCGATCCAGATATACTGCTTTGGACACCGAAGCGTCCAAAACTTCTCTGCATCTGAAGCATGGTCCAAAGCCTCACACAGCCCTGCTGCCTAAATGGACAAGCAGGAAGAGGAGTTGGAAGATAACCTACTTCTAGTACCCCACGCAGCAGCCCGAAAGGGGTTGGGCTCTGCATCGCTCTGAATTTCCAACAAAAATATTCTAACTATCAGACCACAAGCTAGACGTTACCAACTTGCTTCTTAAAGCTTGCCACTGCACCTTTTGTTTACGGGTCATTGGCTAAAACAGAGAGCAGTTTCTTCCCATAGCAAAGGGCCAGCTTAGAACCTAGAGTCCTCTACCAGTCAGAACAGGTATCATCTCACTGAGCCATATACCTCTAGCTTTAATTCTTCCTTCCTGGCCCCAAAGATCTCCCTCTCTTAGCTGCTGAGGGGGCCAGCTGCAAAAGGAGGCCTGACTTATATATGGCCTGATGGTTAGATCACTGCGTTACAAAAGCAGAGAGAGCCACAAGCCTCACTCTTGGTGAGTGGGCTCTGGAAGCTAGGTCTCCCACCTCTGGGCAACCACCCTAATTACTAAGGTTGGTCTAAAACAGGGTTGTTCATCTTCTATGCTGCTGTAACACAACCAGTGGGCTGCACCAGTAATGAGGGGCCTTGCCCTACCCCCCAGCCTTGTGGACTGTACCATGATCTTCTCTCACTTTGACCAATTTGTCTGTATTTGTCTGGCCTTGACTACACCACCATAGCCACTCAAAAAGCACTTTCCCAACTTTCCACTGTGCCATTGCCATCCCCCCTCTGTCTCCCTGTCACATCTGCATTGGACACAAGCTGCTTCTCCTAATTTTTACACCTGCACAATTAAGTTGCACTGCACCTAGAAGATCTGTTCATCGATCACACTACCAGCCCCTGCCTTCGATTTTTTTGTAGAACAAATAGTTTTGGATAATGGCTTGTCTTAAATGTCAAAATGTTTTATTTTGGATCGATTCAATGTTGAATTGGGTCTCCTGTGCTGCCACTGTACTTTCTTTATGAGCGTTGTAGTTCAGAAACCTTATTCCCCCTCATTAGCCTATGTACTTGGTTCTCAATAAGACTACGTATCCCATGATGCACTACAGCCACAGGACTCCCATGGTGTACCATGGCATCTGAAGTAGAGTGAAGACTAGCTTGTACCATGGGACACACAAACCTGCTAGGGGGCCTCCCATGAGGAAGAATAGGGGCATGAGGCATGGATATGTGATATGCATAAACAGGGGCCTACCAAAATGGCAATTCGTGATTTTTGTGGAAACTGTGATTTCAGATGGGCTCTGCAAGAAAAATGGGCTCCAGACTTTTGGCAGGCTCTCTGGAAAAAAATATATATTTACCCCCCAAAAAAGGTCCTCATTGCCACTGCGGCCTGGCTGCGCAGCCCGCTCAGGAAGGGTAAAGGTGGGGTGGTGTGCTGGCATGGCAGAACGACTGCTGCCTCTACCCCTTGCCGCTGATGATCTCTGCGTCATATGGCACCACCCCCTCCATTGATTGGTGTCAAGGGGCAGGGCTGCATGATGGACAGCCCTTTCAACCAATCAGTGGCAACGGGTGGGGCTGTATGATGGACAGCCCTTGCAGCCAGTCAGCAGTGAGGAGGGGGCCACTGGGGCCCCTTGGCTAATCAGAGGTACAGGATCGCCTACCATGCTCAGCCCGTGGAAATGACTGCCAGCCCCAGGATCTGCAGGCAAAATTGGCTGGTTGTCACCTCAAATTCAATAGACCCCTACCCGTAAGACAGAGGCAGCTCTCATGGACCCAGATTAATGTCAGACTGACCCAACATAAACCTGTTTGATTTGGGAGACTGGATACAAGAAAAATAGATGGTTTTCCTGACTGAAAGCCAAAAAAAAAAAAAAAAAAA